TTTTTTCATTAATTGTTGCTACATGCAGATATGTATATGTACAGACATATATATATATATGTATATATAAAATCCTTCTCAGTCTACATAATGCTACTTTTGTGTATGCTTTCAGGACTAACCATTTGGTGTTGGATAACCAGTTGGTGAGCTCTTCCCTGGGGAAGACTGTATCTCCTGCTCTCAGCAACCCTTACTTGCCTGGAGTTCCTTGTAACAGGCTGAGCCCCCGTGGTCTTTCCCCCATCAACTTTAGCAGTCAATTGTTCTTGTTCATCTCAGCTTTAGGCAGTCATGTTGGTGGAATTGTATAGGTTAAAAAACAACCAACTGTTTCTAATTCTTTGGCCATTCAAAAGCAAGACACTGGCTGTCCAGATTTTACCCATGGGCAATGGTTTTCAAGACCCCTGACACAGGTCAATTTGGTGGGGCTCTAAGTCATTCAAAAGGAAATTAGACAGCAAAAAGTTGCACACTGTTCTTAAAATCCTGACTCAAAGTTGTTTCCCAGAAAGGGTTTAGTCTCTAAGCACAACCTCCCTTGTAGTCCAGCTAAATGATCAAACACAGGGAACATGGAGATACTATACCAGTCCGGAGCGTCACACACAGAGAGAAACATAGGAGCAGTCTGTTCAGCAGAGAAAAATGCATAAAAGAACCTTAGCTACAACAAAGCATGAACCTTCAAAGAGGCCAACACTCCTACCTGTTGTGTCTTGACTCAGGGTCTCCTGGCTGCTGCTACTGTAAGAAGGCACTGGGGTGATGGACAGGGAGGCTGGACAGGACAAGGGTGTGGCCAGGTCTGCTTTTCGAGGAAAGGATTGGTGGTACACAGGGATGCCTCCATCTTTGGAGAGGAAGAGGGGCAGATCTGATGGGAGGGTGGGTCTGTTTTGGACATAGGGATTTTTCCAGTGGGTGAGTCCGATTGCAACAGGCCCAGCAACATCATAGCCTGTGGAGAAAAACAGATTAAGTCAGTAACTACAATCAAAACCTTATACACTGTTGGTTTTAGTGTATTTTTCAAAAACTCTTAATCTGTGAGGCAAATCAAACACCATTTGAAATGATGCATGCTCACAATAAGCAGACAGGTATTGTCACACTTGATGAACCGTTTTCATTTGTCACGTTAAACACATAGCGCGTGCTAGGTGCCTAGTCTTTGCCTTCTAGGTACTCTAACAAAGCAGACAAGATTTGTGATCATGAAGGATTTTAGGTGGGATTTGTGTGTGTGTGTGTGTGTGTGTGTGTGTGTGTGTGTGTGTGTGTGTGTGTGCCACAGTTGTCCACAGAGGCCCAATGATCATGTCCAATTTGAAGCAGTTGGAGTTACAGGCAGTTGTGAGCCACTCAAGAGCAGCAAACACTCTAAACTGCTGGACCATCCCTCCAGCCCCCCCCATCATAAATTTTTAAAAAGCAATTGAAGGCCAGCTATATGCTAGACACTTTACAAAGCCACTCTCAAACCCATACAGCAGTTGCAAAGGGCACTATTAACTATTTCAGTTTTGTGGATGACAAAAGTAGCGATCAGCTTCCCCTAGATCAAGAAGCCCACAAATGCCAAAGGCAGAATGCAAGCCCAGAGGTGTCTGAACCCAAAACTATAACCATCCAGAAGACAAAGAGGACAAAGACATCAAAAGGAGAACAGAAACTTCCCCTTGGGAGTTCTAGGGAGGGGCCCCTCCATGTTGGGGAAGTGAGGCCGTGGAGAAGGTAGCATGAATACAGCTTTATAGACGAAGTTGGCATCTCAAGCCAGTGGGAGAAATCTGTTGTGTGGAAATATCTTGTTTATTCCACCTGTCTCTGTTAGGTTTCTACTGCTGTTACGAAACACCATGACCAAAAAGCAAGTCGGCAAGGAATGGGTTTGTTTGGCTGATACTTCAGCATTGCTGTTCATCACTGAAGGAAGTCAGGACAGGAACTAACACAGGGCAGGATCCCAGAGACAGGAGCTGCTGCAGAGGCCATGGAGGATGCTGCTTACCGGCTTGCTTCCCCTGACTTGCTCAACCAACATTTTTTTCTTCCTTTTTTTTTTTTAAATTTAAGTTAGAAACAAGCTTGGTTCACATGTCAATCCCAACTTCCTCTCTCTCCCCCGACCCTCCCACCAGGGATCCCAAACCCCCACCCAGTCTCCACTCCGATCCCCAGGGAGGGTGAGGCCTCCATGGAGGATCTCCAGAGTCTGTCATTTCATCCAGTGCAGGGCCTAGGCCCTCCCCCAAGAGTCCAGGCTGAGAGAGCATCCCTCAATGTGGGATGGGCACCCAAAGTCCATTTGTACAGCAGGGATAAATACTACCCAAGGCCCCATAGATTACCTAGGCCTCCTCACTGACACCCACATTCAGGGGGTCTTTATCAGTCCTATGCTAGCCACACCGCCATTAGTCTGGGGTCCAAGAGCTCCCCCTTGTTCAGGTCAGCTGTTTCTGTGGGTTTCACCAGCCCAGTCTTGACCCCTTTGCTCATCACTCCTCCCTCTGTCACTGTGTTGCAGGAGTTCAGTTCAGTGTTTAGCTGTGGGTGTCTGCCTCTGCTTCCATCAGCCACTGGATGAAGGTTGTTTCCCATATTCTCTGGCAGTGGGATTGTAAGCTGGCACTCTCCTGATTCATGTCTAAAATCCATATATGAGTGAGTACATACCATGTTTCTCTTTTTGTGACTGGTCAACCCACCTTCTTATAGAACCCAGGACCAGCAGCCCAGGGATGGCACCGTCTACCATGGGCTGGGCCTGCCCCCACTGATCACTAATTGAGAAAATGCCTTACAGCTGGATCTCAATGAGGCATATCCTCAGCTCAGGCTCCTTCTTCTGATGACTCTACCTTGTGTCAATTTGCCACACAAAACCACCCAGTACACCGCCCTTTTTGGTAATTTGAAGTAAAACTTGAAGTGAATAAAATCTAAATCTAAACCATGCTCACAAAAAAGCCACTTTTTGATTTCTCGTGAAAAACTATCTCTTGAATTTCTCATGAATATTAAATAACACTGCACTGTATCCCACATGGCAGCCAAGTCTACATCAATCTGCCACAGACCCCACACTCCCTAACACCTCAGCCCAGCTTTCGTCACTCATCCGCTGGGCCTGTCTGGCCTCTGCAGGCTTTTGCAGATGTCACTTAGGTACAGATCATGGGATGCAATGTGGAAGCAGTCTGAAGAAAACACAAAATGAAAAGGGTGGGTTAATATGAGACACGCCAAGAGACGAAGGCTAGATTTCATCTGGGAGGCAAAGCAGATCAAGATGCTGTTCACACGGCTGGAGGGTTTATTTTAATCCATTTCATTGATACGAATGAGCTAAAGTAAAAGTCACATCGTTATGATCAAATGTAAATGGGATGCTAAATTTAAAAGTAGCAATGAAGTCAAAGGATTTTGAGGCAACAGTCAACCAAAAGAAGAGCTGGCAACAAAGACACAGGAAGCAGGATGTCACACCAGGGGCAGGCCCGTGCTCCCTCTGGCAACATCAATCCTGTCGGGGAAAGGTGGCAACAGGTGTCTCTCGGTTCCCTTTAAATTCAACATCCAAAAATGAGAATAAAGAAAACAAAAGTTCAACACCAACATTGTCACTTGCCAGACTCAAAACTGTGACAGAAAGTATAGAAACCACACCAGAGCTGTCAGTATTCTTGGGGAGAACACTGGCGCTAATCACCTCTAGGGTTCTTACACGTTTAACACGTGGGTAAGATCTACCAAAAATACAGACTTGGTCAAGAGCCAAGACATATTGAAGGGCTTGGGAAGAGTGATTTTATGTGCCTGGACTCTTTCTGACACCTCTGCTTCAGTATCTCATGCAGAGATTTATCTACACAAATCCTGTGACTTAGATCCTCACATATGAAGTTACTGTGCAAGATGACTCTTCCCTAAGACAGTGGTTCTCAGCCTTCCCAGTCCTATGACCCTTTAATACAGTTCCTCCTGTTGTGCTGACCCCCAACCACAAAATTATTTCATTACTACTTCATAACTGTAGTTTTGCTATTGTTATGGATGGTAATGTAAATATCCATGTTTTTTGATGGTCTTAAGCGAACCCTGTGAAAGGGTCATTCGATCCCAAAGGGATCATGATCTGATGTGGGAAGTCCTGTGTATATGTCAATAAAGCACTGTTGGCCAATAGAGAAGCAAGATAGGTGGGACTAGGAGTCTAGGAGGATTCTGGGAAATGTAGTGAAGAGAGTCATCGCCATGTGATCTGCTGGGAGGAAAGGACGCTGCAGGAGTGCGTCCTCGTAAAGATAAGTCCTTATAAAATATACATTGGTAATTATGGGTCAATAATTAAGTCAGAGCTAGCCAATGAGAAACAATAGCAGATAGCCAACAGCTTCATAATTAATATAGCCTCCTGTGTGTTCATTTGGGACTGGCGCAGCTCTGGAACCAGGCTGGCAGGAAAACTATACGTTACAATGACCCACAAGTTGAGAAACTCTGCTTGAAGACGATGAGTACAGGGGATGAGAGAAAACACAGAACTGTTCAGACCAAACTCTTTAAATGATCCAAAGAAAGGTGTCTTGCTGCTAGCACTGTGTCTAGAATTGGTAGCCATATTCTGTTTGCCATGAGTGTTACCAAGGTGCCTGGACTTCAGCCAGACTGTGCATCATAGACACCACCTGTTGTCTCTGCAGAATCTTAAGCCCTTTCCTCCTCCTAGTCTTGACTTTGTCTTGGGGAATCTGTCCCACCGAGGAGCCCTCAGGCTCACAACAGGTGATTTCATCCCCCCACACCTATCCAGAGCCTCAAGTGGCCTTGATAGGAATAAGGTCAGTGGATTGGCTCAGAGATGGTCATGGAACACCATAGACACGATGATACAAGCCAGATCTGTTGGCCCTTCAAGCAGAGGCCTGAGGAGACACTGTGTTCCCTCTCTGCACAGTGGCTACCACCAGGAGGATAAGCCACCAAGACAGCAGAGAGGAGGAAGCCTCTCACAACAGTTCCAAAGAACAAGCCTGCTGCTGGCCTTCTGTTAATGAAATAATAACTTCTCATGGTCTTGGCCAATGAGGGACCTGAGTCTTTTGGTTACATCATCACCATTGGAAAAGACTAAGCATCTTCTGTTCCCAGCTCCCCTTCAGAGTTAGATTTGTAGAGCTCCTGTAACCATATGTCACAAGCTGTACAGCCTAACACAGCAGAAACGTATGTGTCAGTGTTCTAGAGGATAGAAATCTAAAGTGAGGCCTCTGCCAGAGATAATGGTCCCTGCCTTTCTCTTGGGTCCTTATGTTACTGAATTCACTGCTATTCCTTGGCTGACAGACATCTTACTCCATTGTCACAAGGCACTGTCCCTTATAACTCTGTGATTCCTCTCATTACAGGCACACTGGTGGATTAGGGAAAGCAAGTATGATATCATCTTAACATGATGACGTTTCACAGAGACCCTGCTTCCAAATATGGTCACCTTCACAGGTACAGAAGACTGAGACTTCAAGATACCTTTTGGGAGACATAGTATAATCCGTGCAACCTGACATGGTAGCTACAGCTCCTGGACAAAGAAAGAGCATTTGTCCCTGTGTGAAGGATGCCAGGTTACAGGAGTGCCTCCAACAGAAGCAAGGTTGCCTATGTTCAAACCCCAGTTCTCACTACCAGAGAGTCTAGAGGCAATTGCATAACCTCCCAGGGTCTCAGTTTCCTCATCTATAAAGTGGGGCAGTAATGCTATCTACCTCAGGATTTTGTCAGTATTAGATGAGGAAGTACTCAGAAATGCACTTAGGGAAACCACCTCCCACAGGGTCTTCTACTACATCATCCCTCCTGCCAGCCCCCTCCTGCCAGCCCCTCCTCCAGTTTCATCAGTCTTCATTCTCAAGTCTGTGGCCCACCAATCCCTTTGCAACATGAACCCATGCAGGATTGTCACCACAGCTGGTTGTGACCTCTGACTTGCTCTAGGTTTTCAAGAAACGTGTTTGCTTCATCCTCTTACTGTGTCCTTCTTTCTCCCCTACCTGGGTTTCCCTTCAGGCCGGCCCTCAGCCCCCTCTGCACACCGAACATGGTGACTCTCACTCTCTTGATCTCAGATAATCCCAAAGACTCAGCCGGCCTCTCTGCAGACAATGCTCTAGATTCATCTAACCATTCTTCCCAAAATTCCAGTTTCCTACAAGGGATTTTTATGGAGTTGTATGCACACCTCGCATCCAAACTATAATGGCTAAGCCCGGCCCATATAAACTGTATTTGTTCCATCCTTTTCCTAACTTCAGCATCTCCCACAATGGCTAGACTCATTGTCACCCTGACTCAAAATCACAGAACACACTTGTCTACCCTCAGACTGAGTTCATGACCACTGTCAGCCACTATCCTATCCCTCTCCCTCCAGACATGCCTCTTGACCCTACACCCTTGGTTTGTTACTCTCTCATGTCAAAACTAGTCGCAGCCACTAACTGGCCTAGGACACGAGGTTCTCATACAGGAAACACAGCAAGATCACTATCAGGATCATCTCTCATCCACACTGGGCATTCAGGTTCTTACTCTCTTACTGCAGGCCCTCCCTCTGTGACCTCCCGTGATTGACAAGTATCTCTAAAAACATCTTAAGTATCTGATATTTTCAAACTAGATCTGAAGGGTGAGCTCCAGAGGATTTTTAAAATGTCATTATTCTTCATTGTAAAGTAAAAAGAAAATCAACTTTCTGGGCCAAGTTCCACTATTTAATTTTAATGCTTGAATCTGCTTTGGTGTTTGAATAAAGCGATGCCAATCCACAGACTTCTTGAGAGGAGGAGTGGGTATGTCAGGGTGTACTCACACCAAACAAAGATTTGGGACCTCAGATCAGTGAGCAGTCACAGACTTTCAAGTAGATTATGCAGAGGTGATGAAAGTGCGGACCCTTCAAACAATACCCAGGAGTATGGTGTGGGGTCAAAGGTCTCCTTCCTGTTACTGCTAGCATGTTGCCTTTGGAGCAGCAACTGCATCCCAGCAAAGCCAAAGGACACCCTTATTAAACTAATCAGGGATCAGGGCTATTTTGCATTATAGCATCTTTAAATTCAATGTGATTTTTATAGCTATTTAGAACAGAAGGTGTCTATGTCTAGTTTTATGCTCAAATATACTTGTGTAACTTTAAAATCAAAAGAATTAAAATCCACTTTACAGGCTCATCAATATTTTATAGAGCTCCCCAGTGTGGCAGTTAGAGAAGCCACATCCCAAAGTCTCAGGCATGGGTTTCCAACAGACTTGTCCTGAAATCCAGAGCATACTAATAACTGCATGAAAGACAAAGACAAAAACAAAAACAAACCAAGCCTCCTAATCTGTACAATGAAGAAATATTGGTACCGTCTCACAGAGTTCCTATTAAGTAAATGGTGAGAGTAGGGAGCCAACAGCCACTGACAGATACAAAATAAGGGCGATCTTGATTACCACCATTTTTTGTTGTTGTTTTTGTAAGTCACTGCCTAAGATTCTGGACTCAAGAACATAGAGAAAGAAGTGAGGTCTGGAGAAATGACTCAGAGGTTAAGAGCACTGGCTGCTCTTCCAGAGGTCCTGAGTTCAATTCCCAGCAACCAACCACATGGTGGCTCACAACCATCTGTAATGAGATCTGGTGCCCTCTTCTGTCATGCAGGCAGAATACGGTATGCATAACGGATAAATAAATAAATACCAAAGGATCCAATTAAAAGGTGGGGTACAGAACTAAATAGAGAATTCTCAATAGAGGAATCTAAAATGGCTGAGAGATGCTTGAGAAAGTGCTCAGTGTCCCTAGCCATCCAGGAAATGCAAATCAAAACAACTCTGAGTTACCATCGTACTCCTGTCAGAATGGCTAAAATCAAAAACACCAATGACAGTTTATGCTGGAGATGTTGTGGAGAAAGGGGAACACTCCTCCACTGCTGGTGGGAGTGCAAACTTGTACAGCCACTTTGGAAATCAGTATGGAGATTCCTCAGAAAAACGGGAATCAGTCTACCACAAGACCCAGCAATTCCACTCTTAGGCATATATCCAAAAGATGCACATTTATACAACAAGGACATCTGTTCCACTATGTTCATAGCAGCATTATTTGTAATAGCCAGAACCTGGAAGCAACCTAGATGCCCCTCAACTGAAGAGTGGATAAAGAAAATGTGGTACATTTACACAGTGGAAAAAAATAATGGAATCTTGAAATTTTCAGGCAAATGGATGGAACTAGAAAAAAACATCCTGAATGAGGTAACACAGTCACAAAAAGACAAACATTACTCACTCATATATGAATTTTAGATATGGATCAGGGGAGTGCCAGCCTACAATTCCACTGCCAGAGAGTCTGGGAAACAGAACCTTCAACCAATGACTGATGGAAGGAGAGGCAGACACCCACAGCTAAACAATGAGCTGAACTCAAGAAACCCAGTGACAGACAGAGAGAACTGATGAGCATAGGGGTCAAGACTGGGCTTGTTTAACCCACAGAAACAGCTGACCTGAACAAGGGGGAGCTCTTGAACCCCAGACTGATGGCTGGGAATCCAGCATGGGACTGATCAAGACCCCCTGAATGTGGGTGTCAGTGAGGAGGCCTAGGCAATCTATTGGGCCTTGGGTAATAGATCAGTATTTATCCCTGGCATACAAATGGACTTTGGGTGCCCATCCAACAATGAGAAATGCTCTCTCAGTCTGGACTCTTGGGGGAGGGCCTAGGCCCTGACCTGCATGAAATGACAGACTATGGACACCCCCATGGAGGACCTCATCCTCCCTGGGGAAATGAGGGGATATTGTGGGGGTTGGTAGGAGGGCACGGGAGGAGGAGAGGGAAAGGGAGAGGGACCTGGGATTGACATGTGAAGCAACCTTGTTTCTAATTTAAATTTAAAAATAAAGAAAAGAAAAATAATAAAAAATAAATAAACACATCAAATCTTTTTAAAAACTGTTCGTGGGTTCTTAGACGTGGATCAGACAAGGACTTTGGAAGTAGAAAGACATGGAGAGGGCAGACTCAACAAACAAAAGTAAAGGTTAGTCTTCCCCCTTAGGGCACAGTAAATGCACTCAAGTTTGAGTAGGAAGGGAAGTGGGAGACATCCGGGAGCACACACTGTGCTCTGCCCATGCACTGCAGGTTCCGTGGGCTTTGGGCAGGCAGAGAAGAGAACAGCACGCCCCAGTCTGAGGACTCCAAATTTCCAATGTCACAGACTGCGGGGTGTGGAGATGTCATTCTTAGAGGGAAGGGACAGGGTGGCTAGTACACACAGGATCCCTTAGACCACAGAACGCCTTTAAGGTCGGCCAAGAGCCCAAACCTGAGTAGGTGCCAAAGGACATCAGGGAGATAGAGGACATTATGTTCGTCTGGTTCTTTCTGGTTCAGATCCTAACAGAGACCCTGACTTTGGATTTTAGCGCCACATGAACACTTGCTTCCTACAGACCAGAAAGAATGCACCTTTACTCCAAGGACTGGTGGACAAAACTGCCAGTTATTTTTTCCGGAGATTAGTTTGCTATTTTCAATTACAGAAGGTTTCTTTCTAAAAGAACACTTAATAATACTCCACGGGTGCTGAAAAGAAACTCGATTGTGGCATTAAGTGTACTAAAGCAAATGTTAGAAAGTTATTAAAGCCAGACAAGACTAGTTTTTCCAACTCCTGTCAATGGCAGCAGGAATCCGCAAGAGGGCGCCCCAGGAAGCGAGCCGGCCAGCAATCCCTGTGGCTCTGAAAATCAATTCTTTCATGGGTACATTTTCTGCTTTCTTCCTAAGCCACCCTCCCGCCCAGGTTAACCCTGTTATATAGCCGTGGCTGCAATTGCTCACCTATGGTGATCTGGCTGACACAGCTGTAGTAGCTGCCCGTTGTCGCGGACGACAGGTTATAACTCGCACTGCTCACATCCTTGTCTGTTAAGAAAATAAGACGAGAAGGTTAATATGCTTCATGGTTGCCATGACCACAATGTAAGCTTATGACTGAGGAAAAACAACAGAGCCAGCTCTGTGTCTGTGACACAGGTGCTCTCGTGTTCATCCGCTGGCACACAAAGTTGTGTTCTGTTTTACACGCCAGCAATCCCTGAACTTGGCGAGGGCAGACACAAACTACTCCACAATGTTCAATGACTCACGGAAGAACTGCTTTGAGTTCTTCCTGGTTATAACTGTAAAGAAACAGGAAGACCTGCCTTTGAAGCCCAGCTTTGCTCTGTATAGGTTCTTTAACTCGTTCAAGTTGCGTAACTCAGTATTATTGCCTCCACCTGAGCATGGCGGTTCTAAGGCTGACCTGAGGGATGGGGAGATAAGGTCCAGCCAGCCCATGAGAACTGGGTCAGCCACGGGAAATGCGTACCTGGTTCACGAGGCAGTATTGTGGGATCTGCTGGATCAACCAAATACAGACCTAAAGCACTGCCAACGAGTCTACCCGCCCTAAGGGTGTTGTTCCAGATCCTTGCCTTCACTGGCAGCCTGTCCTTAGGAGATCCTGGAAAGGAGATTTTTAGGGGGCAAGGTCGAAGGCATGAAAAACGCAAACAACACAGAGAAAAACACGTGAAGGGTGACTACGGGTGAAGAACAGACATGAAGGAGAAAAGCACACGGAAAACTGGGGGTCAATAGAAAAGCAAGATGCTTGAACTAGAAAGGAATGCCCAGGAAGGGCCGTGAACAAACCGAAATGCAAAACCATCCCATCTCAGTGGTAAATGCGGGGCAGCAAACACACAAAGACGCGTGGCCATGTGTGACACAGGAAGCCATGTGGGAAAGGGAGCAACACATCTAAGAGCCTCAGACAGAAAACGTCAATCAAAAACTTACACACGGCACTTAGACAGATTTTTCAGGAGAGCCTTAATACTGATTTAGTCCTTGAGGAACCAATTTCAGGAAAAGGAAAATATCATGTAACCAGGGAAAACCTTGAAAGTGAATGAAATCAATGAAGCCTGTAGATCCTGGAGTAGATGGATGGATGGATGGATGGATGGATGGATGGATGGATGGATGGATGGATGGATGGAGATAGTGATACAGATCCTGGAGTCTATATCTTGTTCCGATGTGTGGGCACATTATTTCTCTATAGGTCTTTGTTCCTTAATATTAGAGGTATAGACACTTGACATTATGTTACCATTAAGTCAGCTAATAATAGTCTTTCTATAACCACATCTAACAGCATAAAACATTTGCTTTGTGTTAACTATTGTTCTTTTTCTATATTTTAAGAGAATAAAACAGAATATTACATAGAAAAGAAAATGAATGGCAGAAAGCCTCATAAAATATCATATTAATCTCAGGCACATAATGTTGAATAAAAACAATATACAGTACATGTGGTTCTCCTCCTGAAAACCTGAACAACGGGGCTGGGATGGCGCTGCAGTTAAAAAATTGCCTTTCAAGAAAGAGGGGCTGAGTTTGATCCCCCAGAACTCACGCTAAAAACTAACAAAGCCTAGTATAGTGGTGTCCTGTGTAACCCAGTGACAGACAGAGGTGGAGACATACAGGTCCTGAGGCTTACTGGCCGGCCTAGCCTGCTGGGCACATCCCCCAAACATGAACAACACATGAGGTGTCCTCTGGCCTCCATCTGCACCTGCAATACATGCACACACACCACACACACACACACACACACACACACTACACACTACACACACATACTCACACACCACACACACTCACACACACATACACACACCCACACCCACATGCCACACACACACCACACACACACACATCACACACTACACACACATACTCACACACCACAACACTCACACACACACATGCCACACACACACCACACACACCCACACACACACACACACACAATCAAAAACACTTGAGTAAAAACAGAACTAAATTACATTGCTCATAGATTCATACATGGGCAGTAACCCTGCATGTAACAATAATAAAATAATTACCACTCAAGTGAGTGTAGTGGTGGAGGAAAGAGTTTAAATTATGAGAGGGTGTAAGGCAAGGCTAGTTCTTGCAGAATATGATTTGTCACTTGACCTGGGTTTTGGTCCCGTGACACTCATCTTACAACTATTTGTTTAATTATAACGTGTCTTCCCCACTTGTGCAAAGGTTAGGGTTTATAACTTTTAAAAGGAAATCTAGAGGGTGGATATTGTAGTAAAACAAATCAGGAACGTCAATTCTGCACAAATATGCAAGAGAAAGAAAAGGCAGACATCTTAGTTTAGTGGTTCTCAACCTTCCTATTGCTGTGACCCTTTATACAGTTCCTCACATTGTTTCATTGCTACTTCATAACTGTAATTTTTCTACTGTTATGAGTCATAACGTAAACATCTATGTTTTCTGATGGTTTTAGGAGACCCCTGTGAAAGGGTCCTTCAACCCTCCCAAAGAGATCACAACCCACACTAGAAAAATAATTAAAGCCAGCCTGAGAGATTGGAGAAATTAACTGTAGGAATGGTCCATACGCAAAACAGTCAATATTCTAGCTCTCTGTGAAAGCTCTCAATTAGTCTAATCTGAGAAGGTTAAAAAAAAAACTTAAAGTACTAAATAATAAAAATATTTAAGAAGCCCAGTGCCCAAAAGCCAATGGAAGAGTTATCACAGTAAATTTAGAGTTACTTAAAAAAATAAGGCAAGGGGCTGGAGAGATGGCTCAGCAGTTAAGAGCACTGACTGCTCTTCCAGAGGTCCTGAGTTCAATTCCCAGCAACCACATGATGGCTCACAACCATCTAAAATAAGATCTGGTGCCCTCTTCTGGCATGCAGGGATGCATGCAGGCAGAACACCATATACATAATAAATAAATGAATTAATTAAAAAATATATATGGTGAGAATGTCTAACATTAAAAATTTTTTAAGTAAGCAGGGTGATGGTCACACACACACATTTAATCCCAGCACTCAGGAGGCAGAGGCAGGTGGATCTCTGTGAGTTTGAGACCAGCAAGGTCTACAAAGTAGGTTCGAGGACAGCCAGGGTTGTTACACAAAGAAACCTGCCTTGAAAAACAAACAAATAAATAAATGAAATGAAAAGGAAATTTTGAGTGAAATATATATACATATACATATACATATACATATGTTAGAAAACCACAAATTTCCAGAGCCCTTCATTGGGTTCAGGAGTAGAAGTGGGGTGAAGAATGAGATATGAGATTTAATGAAAAGTTCAAACTAGCAAAAGGAAACAAACAAGAAAATTATATAGAAGAGAAGACAGGGTAAAAAGTAGATGCCAGGACAATGTCCAAGCCTATTAGTGATAGTAGAGTATGTAAACGCATTGATGCTACTATTCAAGAATTGTGAGATTGACTTACAAAAACAAATTATTGTTTATGAAAGAAACATCTAAAACATGATTCAAGAAACACTGAAGCAACAGATATAAAATGATGTGAAATTCTAACTGGAAAGCAAATATTACCCCAAATAAACGCAAGGTATCCGTTACCTTTAGATGACAAGACTACAAAAGAATCAGTAATAGCCACAGACATTTCAATTCTCCAGGAAGACATGAAAAGTTCAGAGTACACTCAAAGTAACTATAAAATGTATGGCAAAATTGAAATTATTATATTGATACATGACACTACACAGAAAGAGTGGCCAATTCAACATCAGAGGGGGACAGTTTAACATAGATTTAGTAATCGATTGGTGGTACAAATAAAATTTGAGTGCAAACACACACACACACAGAAAACAGGAAGGAAGCTGATCATTAGGATTGGGAGGAGGACAACAGAGGGCAATGGGGGTAGGGCCGATCAGGATGATCAAAATGCATTAAGTATATGTATGAAACTCATTATCGTGTCTGATTAACACATGGTAATAAAACAGTTTGTAAAGTTAATAGGGGTCTAGGGAGATGACTCAGTAGGTAGAGTGCCTGCCAGGTGAACACAACCTGAGTTTGGATCACTGAATCCTGAAACAAAGCCAGGCACAGAGGCATGCTCTTGTAACCCCAGCATTTGGAAGGCAGGCTTGCAGAGACAGGGGGATCCCTGAAACTCACTGGCCACCAGCTCAGCCAAATCAATGAGCTTCAGGCTCTATGAGAGACTCTGTCCCAAAATAAACATTTCGAGCAATCAAAGACACCCAACACTGACCTCTGGCTTTCACAAGCACACCCAAAAAGTGAAATAGCATAAATAATCTCTGTTTAATCCTTACTCCCAACAGAGAACATGCATTCTTAATCCCCTTTATTACATTATTTATGCGTGTATATGATGTGCACGCATGCCACATCACATGTATGAAGGTCAGAGCACAGCTTGTGGGAGACACAGCACATGTATGAAGGTCAGAGGATAGCTTGTGGGAGCCAGTTCCCGAGAGAGAGCTCAGGTCGGCAGGCTCCTTTACCCACTGAGACATCTTGTCTGCTGACCCTTTACATTTGTAACTACTAAGCCTATATTGAACTATTATAAAACTTGATGATACATTACATCATAGAGCAAATCTCAACCATTACAGATCAATACCATCAAAGGATATTTCTTAAAACTTTAACCTGTGATATCGTATGTATCCTTTTGGGCAATGAAGCAGGGGAAGAGTGGTAACTACTATGTGGGGGGACACTCATGCTTGCACGCATGCTCTCACACAAGTGCCCACCTCAGAAATACAAATCAAGGTCTCCATTTCAACAAGATACCCATGTGACTTGCTACCTCATTAAAAAGAGAGGCGATATTCTCAAAGGCCTTGGAACCAACCAAACTTATTTTTAAGGGTCTGTGTGATCTAGCCTGTGCTGGGAGCTGGGAGGACAATGTGTCAGAAAGGACAAAATCCAAGGAACTATAAGACTGCAGAGCACAGACAGCCTAAGGCCATAGGGAGCGCTGACAG